CCCAATAGCGTCCACCAGGCCGACCTCCTGTTCCTACACCATGACAAGAGGTACAAGTATGCCCTAACCGTCGTGAAGTCGCTTAACCGCGAAAGACTCGGCCCAGGTAGCCTGCGGATTCGAACGCATGTACAAACGCAGTCCGCTGACATGGCCCACCGAACTGCAAGTCGATCCCGGACGGGAGTTCATGGGTGCCATGTCACAACTGCCAGCCAAACACGATACCAAGGTCAGGTGTGGCGCGGCTGGGGCTCATCGCAACCAAGCCATAGTCGAGAGATTCAATAGGACTTTGGCCGAGCGCTTATTCGGGCACCAGTACGCGAGAGAGATGACCAACCTGGGAAAACGATCGAAGGAATGGGTAGCGCGGCTACCTCAGGTGGTGTCGGATATCAACCACGAAACCACTCAGCTCACCGGCAAGAAACCGGCCGATGCTATTAAACTGAAATCAGTGATAGCCGAACCGGTTGCACCATCGCGTGGGAAGGAGAAACAGATACCCGATAGGGCCCTTGTGAGGTACCTCTACCAGCCGGGGGAACACGAAGGGGACACTTGGAAACGAGCCACCGATCCGATATGGTCAGTCAAAACTTACAACATAGATAAAGTGGACATCAAAGCCGACGAGCCGAACTTGTACTACTTGAAAGATGGGCCAGGGAGAGGTTTCGTAGAGGTTTCGTCAGAGAGGAATTATTGGTCATACCATACGGCACAATGTTGCCACCCAAGCAAAATATTTAACACTTACCTTGTTGAGTGATCCCAATAGTATCATGTAACGACATAGAGCCATCACATGATCAGGAAAGTGTAAGTTCGCGGTCATAGTGACACAATAGTGTCACGTGTGGCCGGGAAGTTAACTGGGGATTCAAAGAGTAGTATATACAATGGCGGCGAGATCTAAGGGCCTGACAAAAGCTATATTTATGAAATAAAGCTTTACAGCGACCTTTCATGGAACTGATCTCGGACTATCATTGTATATACTACTCCAGTAGCTTTTAATAAGAACAGACCTTCGAGCTACCCCGAAGACGATAGGCTTAACTGAGATGGCTTAGTTAAACCCACACCCATTTCCTACTGGACCCGATTTGAAAAACTAAACCATTTAGCCATCAACGTCTTCGGCCATGAAGGCAATACGACCATCATACACAGAATCACCAGAAAACATCTTAAATTTCATCAACCACAAACATCAAATGCCCCTGTCTTACGTCATTTACGCCGACTTCAAAGCGCTCATCAAACGGGTCAACCACATCACGCCGTCCCCGGAAAAAAGTTTTACGTACAAAACGCAAGAACACCAAGCCTGCGGGTTCGGGTACGTGGTCATATGATGCGACGGTGAAACGGAGACTCCCGTGATCTACCGAGGTCCAGACGTGGCCGAAATGTTTCTCACGTTCTTACAACGCGAAGAGAAAAACATCAGGGAAGCGTTGACAGATCCTGCTCCCATGAATATGACACTGGAGGATGAACTCGCTCACAAGCGTGCTAAGTGTTGCCACGTGTGCGACCAACCCCTGAACGGGGATGTCGTGAGAAATCATTGTCACATCACCAGTCGGTACCGAGGTGCCGCTCACAACACGTACAACTTAAAACTTAGAATCGATCCCCATAAAATCAACATCCCCGTGGTCTTCCATAATTTGAGAGGGTACGATGCTCAAAGCCAACAACCCATACGTGGAAGGCTACGACTGGAACAAGCCCACCAATCACCTCCTGTATCTCGACACAAACAACCCGTATGGCTGGGCCATGAGCCAGTCTCTACCTACAGGAGTTCGAGTGGTTGGACGATGAGATTGATATGGGAGCATCGCGCCGGATTTGAACAAAGGCTACATCCTCGAAGTGGATCTGGAGTATCCCGCGGCATTGCACGCTGCTCACAACAGCTATCTGCTGGCTCCCGAACGATTGACGGTGAACCGAGACTGGATGTCGGACTATCAACTAACGTTGCTCGGGAAAAATAAGCTGCCCAACGTGGAAAAACTTGATGCACAAGACCAAGTACGTGGTGTACTATCGGAATCTGCAACTGTACCTGTCGCTGGGCATGCAGCTGACCAAAATACATCGGGTGCTGCAATTCGATCAAAGTCCCTGGATGGAACCTTACATTCGGTTGAACACCGAGCTGCGAAAACAGGCCACCAACGACTTCGAGAAAAACCTCTACAAACTGATGAACAATTCGGTGTTCTGCAAAACCATGAAAAACTTGAGAAAACGGGTGATGGTCAAACTCATGCGATCTCACGAGGAAGAAAAACTCAGGAAACTGATTGCCAGTCCGGCGTTCAACCGGGAGCAAGCTATTCGATAACGACTTGGCAGCGTTGCACATGAACAAAAACCACATCAAACTCAACCGACCCATCTACGTGGAGATGAGCATTCTCGACTTATCCAAACATCTCATGTACGATTTTTATTACAACTGACTCAAACCACAGTACGGCGATTGATGCGAGCTGCTGTACACCGACACAGATTCCTTGTTGAATATACGCACCGAGGACGTGTACGAGGACATGGCGAAACACAGCCACTTGTACGACACCAGGGATTACCCCCCAGACCACGCCCTACACAGCACGACCAATAAGGTCCTCGGCAAGATGAGGGACGAATGTGTGGGAACACCCATCGTCGAATATGTCAGATTGAGACCCAAGATGTATTCCATCCTGAAAGCCGACAACGGCGAGATCCGAAAAGGCGAACGGGGTGAAGAAACATCCCATGAACGTGTTGAGAAGCGACAAACACACCATCTACGGCATCACTCTCAACAAGACGTCGCTGTCGTCCATGGTTACCAAACGGTGGATTGTGAACGATGGTATCCACACTTATGGCTATGGATACCAACAGTCTGTCTAGTCCTCGACGCGTTGGGAGTTTCTGAGACCCCCAATAAAGGAAACTCCACTCGGTGTGTCGAAGTCTAGACAGACTATTGAATGGATGATAGCGTGGTTACATCATGGAGAAGGTTTACTACAGCCCCCGGGGTTTCTGGAAAGGTGTGGGCGCCATCCCGAAGCTAGCCAAAGCCGCTCGCGTCTCCGAGGATACCGCCAAAGCCTGGCCATCTGGCATGTGTACCTGCCGGCCCCCCGATACATCCCAAGAAGAAAGTTTGACATTTCCGTACCCAATCGTACCCATCAAGCCGACCTCCTGTTTCTCCCGCACAACAGGGTGAGAAACAAAACATACAAGTACACCTTGACCGTCATGGACGTTGCCAGTCGCTACAAGGAAGCCGAGCCGTTAACGACCAAAGATTTGAGTCAAGTCGCTAAGGCCTTAGAACGTATCTACAAACGCAGTCACTTGACCTGGCCGACTGAATTACAAGTCGATCCCGGACGCGAGTTCATGGGAGCCATGTCGCAGCTGTTATCGAAGCATAAAGTCCAGGTGAGATGGGGCGTGGCCGGAGCCGAGCGTTTGTTCGGACATCAGTATGCCCGAGAGATGGTAAACCCAGAAAAACGGAATGGGTGATACGCTTACCGCGAGTGGTGTCGGCGATCAACAACGAAGTCACTCGATTCCTCAATAAAAGACCCGTCGAAGGCATTCGAATGAAATCTGTGACGACCGAATCAGCTGCGCCATTGCGTCACGGACAAGAGAAAAAACTACCGGACTGGGTCTTTGGAAGGTATCTGAACCAGCCCGGTGAACTCGAAGGAGGGGACAAACGTCGCACAATAGACCCTGTATGGTCCATGAAAATGTACCACATCAACCGAGTGGACATCAAAGACGACGAACCGAATTTGTACTACTTGCAGAAGGACCGGGTAGGGGATTCGTCCGAGAGGAATTACAAATCGTCCCTCCTGACACGGTATTGACCCCTTATTAAAGATTCGTCTTATGTTTCTCATACATGTGGAGATTGATCGAGAAACGGTTGTTCAGACTCATCGGGGTGGACGTCCATGGCCTCGATATTTTTTCCCCGCCCTGCGTCGAATCATAAGTCGAGGGAAATTCACCAGCCTGTACGATAGTTTAGGTCTCATGGGCACCGAACGGTTAGAACGCCTCATGGATACATTAATTGATTATAGCTTTCAGACCCGAGAAAGCGATGTCTCGTACTCCTTAATCCACTTCGAGGATTTCATGGCAGACTCACTCCATAAAGTCGTCGCCAAATATTATGGCTACATTTAAATTCAATCCAAACTCTGTTGCTAAGCTCGGTCTAGGCTGGAGGCACATCGGAGGATGCCTCGCGCTACACCCTCACCGTTTTTTATTGGGGGCTGGGGGCTTAAGTCCCATAAAAAAGCCTCTAAGCCGCAAATGATGCAGAACCCCCATTGTACTACTACTTGCGAATGTGGTAGTATGCCCTTCTACAGATGTTATTTATGTGTGGCTCCATGGACGGTGAGGAATCAAAAATAACTCCCAAGTTTCGCACCTCATGGTTTGGCTGAATCTCACACTGACCGATGCTGAATTTAGGAAGAGAGATACTGGGCTGGAGACGCTTAGGGTGGAAAATTATGAGTTCAGTTTTATCATCATTCAGTTTGAGGTAGTGTGACGACATCCAGCTTTTGATGCAGCTGACACACTCTTCAGTGGTGAGAAATGAAGACACAGCTGATGAGGAAAGTAAGGGTTTGAATGATATTGTTACAAAGTCCTTTTAAGACCAAAATGGTCATTTACTTTATCTATGAATCTTATTTCGTTTTAGCATGCCAATTCCGTTTCAACCTACATTTTGCATCATTCCAACTTTTGAAAACCAATATGGCGGCACCCATGTGGTGCATGCCTCTGTTGTACCCTTCCCCAGAATACAAAGTTAATGGTACCTGACCTTGTTGGTTTTCCTTTGAACCACTGAACAAGTCTAACCTGGTCCCGTGCATGCCTGCACCGTGTTTTCATGGTCCCGCGAGGCGGATATAAAGTAGAAAATGGCGTCAAAGGAGCACACCTCTCAAGATCCAATAGCACTGGTAAGACAGTCACAGAGGGAAAGTAAACTACCCTTGCACCTCAGGGAGGACTATGTGTTATCAAACCCACCTATGGATGTTGATGAGGAAGTTGCTGTAACAGAAGCAAACAAATCTGTGACTCAAAGAAGCAGAAAGTCAGTCGAGTCATTGAAATCAGTGAATAGAACTGGAAGAAATAGGAAATCAGAAAATTCAAAATCCACAATATCTGGCAACAGCTCTGTATGTAGCAGAACTTCCCAAGGATCAATAAGATCTGTGACCTCACAGCTGTCAGAAAAGCAAACCGCAAGGTTAGAAAAACTAAAGAAATTATCCAAACTAGAGGAATTGCAAAGAAGATTTGAGGAGGATATCCTCACACAGGAGGAATTAACAAGATGTGACGACATAGCACGAAAGGCACAGGAAGAGGCTGAAATGGAAATTCTAATGACGCAGAGGAGGGCTCATGAGATAGAACGTGAAGCCCAACGAGAACGAGAGCGACTAGGAACCAAAATCACCCACTTAAGGAGAATTCGGGAAGCTGAAGCCGGATTAAAAGAGGCAAATTTCATTGACTGTATGATAAATGAAGATTCCCCTGTTGTGATGAGCACTAATAATAATAATAATAATCTACTTCTATAGCGCCGAGTTCCAGCTAGGCTGCTCACAGGCGCTTGTGCAGATCAGTTTATTTCATTTCAGATAGATGTGTCTTTAAATGTTTTCGAAAAGTTGGTAGACTTGGGGCGGATTTTAGCGACATAGGGAGGTTGTTCCATAGCATGGGAGCTGCACATTCAAAGCAGCGGTCCCTGTATTTGGTCCTGGATGGTCTGGTGATAAGCAGATCTTTATCTTGTGATCTAAGAGTTCTTGTTGGTCTATGGTTGTTTAGAAGAGATGACAAGTAAGATGGAGCAGTGTTGGTCTTCAGGCACTTGTAGATAATGGTAAGCACCTTGAATTATATGCGTCTGGCAACGGGTAGCCAATGCAGTTCTCTTAACCTGGGGGTGATGTGGTCTCTTCGAGGACAACGAGTTATTATCCTGGCGGCTGTGTTTTGTATAACCTGGAGTCGATGAACCAGGGAAGCTGTTATCCCAAACAAAAGTGAATTGGCATAGTCAAGGCGAGATATGACTGTTGCTTGAGTGAGAGTTTTGGCGGTTTCATCTGAAAGATATCGTCTTAGTTTACCAATCTGATGAAGATGATAGTGAGAAGACTGGCACATTTGGGTGACCTGCTTGTTCATGGTCATGTGGGAGTCAAAAACAACTCCTAGATTCTTCACTTGGGAAGAGGCAGGCACATTCACAGGTCCAATATTGACTGAGAATTCTGTCATACGTTCCTGTAAGTGCTTTGGCCCAGCAATGAATACTTCCGTTTTGTTGTTCCATCTCCCAGTGCTGTCCACCCTACCGTCCAGACACCCTCCAGTGTACTAGCTCCCAGTGCTGTCCACACTTCCGTCCAGACACCCTCCAGTGTACTAGCTCCCAGTGCTGTCCACACTTCCGTCCTGACATCTTCCAGTGTACCAGCTCCCAGTGCTGTCCACACTTCAGTCCAGACATCCTCCAGTGTACCAGCTCCCAGCGCTGTCCACTCTTCCGTACAGACACCCTCCAGTGTACCAGCTCCCAGCGCTGTCCACTCTTCCGTCCAGGCATCCTCCAGTGTACCAGCTTCCAGTGCTGTCCACTCTTCCGTCCAGATATCCTCCAGTGTACCAGCTTCCAGTGCTGTCCATACACCAGTCATGATTTCTCCCGGTGTGGTCCACTCTCCCATCATGATGTCCTCTGGGATACCAGGTCCTGATGCGATCGACACTCATGTCTTGATGCCATCAAGCATACCAGCAGCCATGTCAGCCCAGACATCGTTTGCAAACTTTATTGACCAAGCATCACCAAGAATACACAACTACCCTTATCAACCATGTTACTCACAACCAAACTGTGCTGATCCACATTATGAAACCCACAGGCAGAATTTGATAAACTCTAATTCAACCTTGAGTGACACTGTGAATGTTAATCCAATTCCGTATGACTTCCACCCTGTCAACCCACAAGTGACACCAACCATGTCTCAACTATTCATTCCAAGGCCAAACCTACCTAACTTCAATAGTGGAAAGGAAAGGGATTTTGCCCTACTGAAGATAGCCCTGGATAATCTGGTAAGCGTCCATCCAGGCTTGACCGAGCAACACAATTATCAAATTCTACTGGACAGGCTTGGAGGTCCCCCTAAGAGACTAGCTTCAGCATTCATGCACGACAAGAGGCCCTTCACAACCACACTCCAAGCATTGAAGGAGAGATATGGACAGCCACGACAGCTTGTTCAGAGTGAATTAGGAGCCCTTATGGGAACACCTGTACTGAAGTACGGGGATCTCGATGCATTTGACAGTTTTGCTCTCTCCGTACGTTCTTTAGTAGGAATGCTGAAGTCAGTGGAAAGTGGAAATGGATCTGAGCTTAAATGCGGTTCGCATGTCGACAGATTACTTGGAAAATTGCCACCAAGTTACAGAGACAGCTTTGTAGAGCACTGTATCAAAGACTCAATCCTTCGATCAGACAGTGACCAGACATATACGTTATGTCACTTAGCCGACTGGTGCCAAATCACGTGCCATGCGCATTGCCAGCCAGGCTGCCACAGTCTACAAGCCGGAGACCCCAAGAGAGCCTCGGAAGCCTCCACCGCCTCGGTTGGGCAATAGACAACCTAATCCAACAGCTTTATTCCTGACTAGGGAGGCCAAGACTTCATCTGTGAATAGAGCTAAGCCATTTTGCCCATATGGTATTAGTGGGGACCACTTCCTGAATGAGTGTCCTGAATTCAAGAAGCTGTCATTAAGTGAGATTTCCAAGTGGCTGGGTCAAAACAGATGCAGCAGGTGTGGCCGAAACCACAAAGAAAGGGAATGCACCTTGAGAAAGCCATGTCACATTTGTAAGCAGTTGCATCTAACAGTCTTACATGATGCCCTTCAGCAGACATCATCCAGAGTTTACTACATGGATCAACCATCACATCCTGCACTCATTATGTTAAAGATTGTGCCAGTAATCCTACATGGTCCCTGCAGCACAGTATCGACATACGCAATCCTTGATGATGGATCTATGCAAACCATGATATTGAAATCAACGGCTCAGCAGCTTCAACTCACTGGGAAGCAGGATTCCATTCTCCTTACAACAATAAGTCAAGAATCAGTGCACTGTAGTGGACAATCTGTGAAACTCCAGATTTCGTCAGCAGACCAGCCAGCCACTAGGTTTGACATCGACAATGCCTTCACTGCAGACAATCTATGCATGTCAGAGTACACATATCCCATAGAGAATATGCAGCAGCACTGGACTCATCTGGAAAACCTTCCTCTACCAAAGATAAATGGAGCAGTGCCAAGTATTCTGATAGGATCCGACAACTCAAAGCTGATCTTGCCTATAGAGCCCGTACGCTTTGGTATTTCAGATGCTCCTAGTGGTGTCCACACCAACCTTGGCTGGACTGTCCAAGGTCCGTCGATGATGCTAGGGCAGACAAAGAGGAACACTTGTCTGCTGAACCAGACTCGACCAGCTTATCTCTCGCCATCTCACTGTGTGGAGAGACTTTGGCAATTGGACACTCTTCCCTTTACGAGTAAACAGGTCATTCGCTCCAAACAGGACAAGATGGCACTGGAAATACTAGATTCTCAGATCACAAGAATTGAGGTGGATGGCGTAAGTCACTACGCAACCCCACTCTTACGCTCTCATGATGGTACCCGTTTCAATGCCAGGGTGGAAGCTGTTCTCCCAACTCTGAAGCGTGCTGAACGACGACTAAAGGACAATTCTGATATGGCCAGAACGCACAATGAGGCTATTCTGAAGCTTGATGAATCTGGATTTGTGAGAAAACTCACTGATGATGAGATAAGAGACTCGAAAGAGTCCTGGTACATCCCTCACCATGTGGTTGAACATAACGGAAAACATCGCCTTGTGTTCAATTGTTCATTCGAGTTTGAATCTAAAAATCTTAGCAATCACTTGTTAGCAGGCCCTACCATTGGATCATCACTTCTAGGAGTGCTTCTCTGGTTCCGACAGCATGCAGTGGCAGTAACTGCCGACATCAAAGCTATGTTCCACCAAATCAGACTGCTTCCACCTGATCGACCCTTGCTTCGTTTCCTGTGGCGAGACATGCAATGCAATCGTCCACCAGACGTGTATGAATGGCAAGTTCTGCCCTTTGGTACTACCTGCTCCCCCTGCTGCACAAGCTGTGCACTGTTGAAACATGCAGCTGAAAACCAGACAGGCAATGAGGAAGTGTTCAAATCAGTGAGTGAATCCTTCTATGTAGATAACTGTTTGGACAGTTTCGAGAACCAAACTCAGGCAAAGCAGCTTTTCACCAAGATGCGAAATGTGCTCACAGACGGTGGATTCAACATAAGACAGTGGGCAAGTAATGTTCCTGAGGTTGTCGCCGATCTCCCTGCTGAAGCAAGGTCCGAGGCTGCAGACCTGTGGCTCAACTTTGGACAGGGTGAACCTAGAGAACCGACTTTGGGCTTACGCTGGGACTGTCAGTCAGATGAACTTACCTACAAACACAGAAATGTAGACTACCCCAATTTAACCATGAGAATAGTATACAAAGTGCTAGCAAGCCAATATGACCCCATCGGGTATCTGTCATCGTTCATTGGACAAGCCAAGGTCATAGTGCAAGACTTATGGAAGTCAAAGAGGAACTGGAACGATTCCATTGAAAATGGGCAACTTCGTGACAGGTGGCTTGCTTGGGAAAGTGAGCTGGGACTCAGTCCTCTGATTACTCTACCAAGGTGCTATATTCCTCAAGGGTTTGATCCAGACGATTCAACTACACAATTACACATCTTCTGTGACGCATCCGAAAGGGTATATGGATCAGTCGCCTATTTGCGCTCAGAAGATCGACATGGAAGGGTTCATGTCAGCTTCGTGATGTTGCACCGAAGAGACAGTTAACCATACCACGGCTACACGACTAGAGCTGTGTGCAGCTCTGACAGGTGCTCAGTTAGCAGACCTGTTGCAGTGTGAAATAATGCTACCAATCCAAGCTACTTATCTATGGAGTGACTCTACTACTGTGCTCACATGGTTGCAGTCTGAATCTTGCAGATACAAGGTATTCGTTGGAGCCAGAGTAGCTGAAATTCAGAACCTCACCGACACACATTGCTGGAGGTATGTGAACACACAGCAAAACCCAGCTGATGATATCACTCGAGGCCTGAGTGTCAAAGACCTTGTTGAAGAATCCAGATGGAGAAATGGACCTGCCTTCCTCCGACAGTCAGCAGATGAATGGCCTGAATCTCCATCAACAGGCAGTGACGAGCCAGCAGAACTTAGGAAATCTGCCATGTTGTCAACGATTGTGACACAGACACCCACTTTGCCTGACCCAACACAGTATGAATCATGGGAAGTATTCATCTCTGATGTAAATGAAGCCCTTGACGGGCGCCCCTAAAGAGGAAACTAAGACACTGACTCCTGAACATGTTGAGCAAACTGAGAACTATCTGTACTGCTACGCCAAGTACAACAACAGTGCTTCTCAAAGGACTTTGATTGCCTCAAGTCTGGTAAGCAATTACCACACGATAGTCGACTGATTCAACTTGATCCTGAATACGATCCAGAACTTGACTTGATCCGTAGGCGGCAGACTCCGCCGAGCTGAATCCCTGGATTCAATATTAAGAATCCCATAGTTCTTGATCCAACCCACGAGATCACCAAACTGATTATCAGAGATCATGACGAGAAACTCTTGCATTACGGTCCGAACATCTCTTTGCCGAGATCCGACGCGAGATTCTGGGTCCTCCGTGGCAGAGAGGCCATACGACGACATCAACGTAAGTGTGCTACCTGCCAGAAGTGGCGTTCAAACCCTGAAACTCAGAAGATGGCCGACCTACTACCGGCCCGTTTCCGACTCTTCAAACCAGCCTTTTACTCAACTGGAGTAGACTGTTTTGGCCCGATGCAGGTGAAGATAGGACGTCGCTTAGAGAAACGATGGGGAGTGATTTTTAAGTGTATGACTACCCGAGCAGTGCACCTAGACCTCCTTGAGTCTATGGATTCAGATGCTTTCCTCATGTATTCCGCCGCTTTGTATCCCGAAGGGTAAACCTCATGAACTCTTGTCAGACCAGGGCACCAACTTCAAAGGTGCTAAATCAGAATTACAGGACGCATGGTCTGAAATGGAACCAGAACTACGTCACTACCTTGTCAACCAAAAGGTAGAATTTGTGTTCAACCCTCCAAGTGCACCCCATCATGGAGGCGTGTGGGAGAGGGAGATCAGATCAGTCAAACATGGCCTCAGAGTGTCACTTGGTCAACAGACTGTTACCGAAGCAACCTTGCGCACTGTCTTGTGCGAAGTCGAAGGCATTCTCAACTCGAAGCCACTTTCTTACGTGTCATCAGATGCTAGAGATTTGGACCCAATCACACCCAACATTCTCCTAATGGGGCGGCATGACACATCTTTACCTCAGGTTGTGTATCCTGCGGACCAACTCCTAAGCCGTAAGAGATGGAGGCACAGCCAGGTCCTAGCGGACCACTTCTGGACCCACTTCATAAAATCCTATCTGCCCGACATGCAACTACGGAGCAAATGGCAGAAACCAAGAGTCAACGTCCAGGATTGACAATCAGTCAATCCGTGCCCAGTGGCCAGTGGGACGTGTGACCCAGACTCACCCAGGACAAGATGGTCATGTTCGGACGGCCACAGTAACTGTTAAGAACAAGGACTATATGAGGCCTGTGGCCAAACTCGTCCCTCTGCCAGAATGTCCAGTGGACCCAAATGACACTTGAATTACTATTTCAATTCCTAGGAACTATTCCAGAACGTTCTAAGGACTTTTGTTATTTCAAATTTAATGCTTAAATTTTGGGGTGGCTGTTATAAAGTCCTTAAGACCAAAATGGTCATTTACTTTATCTATGAATCTTATTTCGTTTTAGCATGCCAATTCCGTTTCAACCTACATTTTGCATCATTCCAACTTTTGAAAACCAATATGGCGGCACCCATGTGGTGCATGCCTCTGTTGTACCCTTCCCCAGAATACAAAGTTAATGGTACCTGACCTTGTTGGTTTTCCTTTGAACCACTGAACAAGTCTAACCTGGTCCCGTGCATGCCTGCACCGTGTTTTCAGATATGTAAATCTGAGTGTCGTCAGCACGTAAATTTCAGTCCAAGGTTGAAGGATCTGACGATATCACCTAGAGGAGAAGTATAAATAGTGAAAAGTAGAGGTCCAAGAACCGATCCCTGGGGCACGCCATAAGCAAGATCCTTAGGACTGGAGATGTGACCATCAATGATCACCGATTGATGTCTATCTGCTATGTAGGACTCAAACCACTGAAGAGCAGTTCCTCTAATACCCATCCTGGTCTCAAGTATATGCATCAGAATAGTATGGTCGATAGTATCGAAGGCACTACCTCAAATCAAGTAGAACCAATACTGCAGCACCATCTTTGTCTACAGCTCTCAGGATGTCACTGTGCACTTTAACGAGTGCGGTTTCCGTGGAGTGGAAATCCACTCATACCTCGTCCAACTGGCTTCTATGCCCCCCTTTTGTGTATTGTAATCACAACCAATCAATGTGTACATCAACCTACTCTCTCCAACTCACATTACCATCTCAGTGTACATCAACTCATCTATTGTATAACTCATTGTGCATATTGTTTTAATCACTATCACTCTGTACATCAACCTACTCTGCTCAAATCACTAATTAGCAATCCAATGTCCTTGTCAATTGTATATACACACTATGCAGCTATAAATATATTCTCTCTATGTATCACTTGCTTGATAACGGTGTTAGTACCTACACCGAAACGTCGCACCCATTGCAATAAAGAGGTTGACTATCCATAGAACTTGGTTTTCCTTCAAAAGAAATATGCCATCTATGACATCACATGCTTAGCCATTTTGGTTATATAAAAACATATTTTTATTTCGCCAAAGCAGAAGCCTGGATAGGCGAACAAGCCTAGTGGCTTATATAAATGCCACTCCAGTACATTGTTCTAATAGCTGGATACATAAATGAAATAACTTGACAAAAAAAGAATAATACCATAACAAATATATGATTGAGTAACAAATATGTTCGTTGTGGTGTTGGTTATGCCTTACTAAGCAACGAAATGGGCAGCCGCTGAAAATCATGTTATATAAACATTTGTCTTACACTGAATATATATGTTGAGGGGATAATCACTGGATGCAGTTACTTTTAGAAATGAACTGGTGTAATGAGTTAAGAATGTCGCTATTAGTTGAGTTATTCAATGCGCCGTTACCGTATAAAGTAGTTTTAACATCGTATCCTTGTATATAAAACTTCACAGTCGTTCTTAAATTTTGATAAATTGTGAGTTTATGTTGTGTTTATCATGGCTTTAAATAGATTCATGGAAATACTAGTAGCTCCATCGGGCAATAAATTCCGCTACATAATCATGCTCGTAAAATGATTGAGAATATCTTCGAGTTCTACAATTAATGCTTTCAATGGATGTACTATTTCTAAGATCATAGTTGCTTTGTTCAAGTACTCTACCTGGTACAAGATCGTTCAGATAATAAGAAGTCAGACGATGATACATTCATAAATAAAATCTGATATGAAAGAAGTGTATCTCTGATTAGTAATTTCTAAAGGCATTTTATGAAAACGTTCTACTTACATTATTTATGGGGACAAGGGTCAGCACAGTGCATCGCCGAACAAATCTTTTGACTTCCATGTTGTTGCCATAGTCCACCTGAAGGCCAACCTGCTGTGTCTCCCTCCACACATATTGTGTAAAGTCGAAGAAACAGCCCTTCCACCTGACATCAGGGAAAACTCTCATGGCAGTGTTCCTGGCGACATCCTCAAAATCCAACTGTAAAGACAAACACACATGTTGTTACAATTATAGTTGGAAATAAATGATAAATTATGTCATTTCGATTAGAAATTTATTTAATATTCTATCTAATTTTAATAAAACCTGACTTACCTGGATCATCAGTGGTCGCAGTTGTCGACCTCTTTGATCTGCAGTCGTCTTCAGCAGCTGGAAGCTCTGACATAGGTAGCAGCAGGTAGACCAGGGGGAACATCTGACCGATGTCTGTAACAGCATGGATGAGGCATCACATAAGATGTACCATCTGCAAGGAAGATGTTGGCTTCACACAACTTCTCCAAGTTGGAAGCGGTGGCGAATCCCATAAAATTGTCCTCGTCCCCATCTTCAAATGCCAGGAGCTGTTCCCCACTGCTGTTGTTTGGTACTGCTCAGGGATTACTAGGTCACAACGATGGGATGGTAGAGGAGGAAATGACTTCTTCCTTGCTCTATATAGGGTGTCCTTCTTTACATGAAACGTAGGTAAGTTGCCAACAAGGGTGACTTTTTCCGGTGTCCAGGGACCAACCCGCATATTGTTTACTTCTTCCTGGAACAGCAGAGGTCTGATCATGGCCTTGGCTTTTTCTTTTAGTGTCTCCATGGTCTCTCTCACCTTGATGTCGGTTTCCACTGGTGGGTGGTTGTGGTTTTGGGAGGGTCTGGTGAGGATATCACTGATGGTGGTCACGGTTATATGGCAATCCTTGGTCGTACACTTCCATACTAAGGTTTCATCACGTTTCCTCTTGTTGACTCTGTACATGAAACCATCCGAACAAAGATATCTGCCGCCTCTCAGCGTTGGGATAAACTTGACCTCTAGCTGTGCATTTGCCATAGTAGGACTTATCAACGAAACCTCTATTATCCGGGACCTCTATTTATATTTTTCATAAAATTGTTGAACAGAGTTAACTAATAAATGTCATTTAGTTTACAGCGACATGAAGTGAACACCAGTTCAGCTCATTAGCATCTCTTGCTCGAGTGACCAACTGACTAATCTGTTAATCCTGATTGGATTAGAAACTCTAAAGCAAAATCACCAGTGACCTAGTGCGAATAGTGTTCATCCTACTGGTGACTTAATGAGAAGACACCACCCTAAGTAACTAAAGATAATTAACTAGACAAAACTGAACTAACTTACAAAGGCATGTCAAGTTTTATTTTATATGTGAAAAAGTAATAACTAAACATAATTACATCTTATTTATGAACACAACTAAGACTTGATAAAATTTATTTTACAATGCACAAGCACTTTCAGTTTGTGAAATATCACATCTTGTCAGACAATGACAAGTAAATCCAAGGTAGTAGTTACATTATACCATAGAAGGCAAAGTACAATATGATTACATCATAAATATAGGTTCTGGGAATGTACAGATATGGAAGTAGCAACTATATAATCAATGATCACATGATCATGAGTCTAATCACCAAGTCAGTGGTTACTGACGCACAAAGTCAGATGCATGTACATGACCATGATTATATCACATA